TACAGAGCCAACAGGTCTGTAGATGATGCAGTAAACATGGCCCTTCACTACATCCTCCAGCACCTGGACTCCCCAGGAACCTACGCCAGGATCCTGTTTGTGGATTTCAGCTCTGCTTTCAACACCTTCATCCCGGCCCTGCTGCAGGACAAGCTCTCTCAGCTGAACGTGCCTGATTCCACCTGCAGGTGGATCACAGACTTCCTGACGGACAGGAAGCAGCATGTTAAGCTGGGAAAACATCTTTCTGACTCCAGGACCCTCTGCACCGGTTCCCCTCAGGGCTTCTTTCCCCTCTGCTCTTCTCCCTGTACACCAACAGCTGCACCTCCAGTCACCAGTCTGTCAAGCTCCTGAAGTTTGTGGATGACACCACCCACATTATAATATCATTGTATTATTTTTTGGATGCTTGTAAATTTTTTGATCTCCTTACTTTTTAAGTACTGTAAGCACCAATGTATACCAAGGCAAATTCCTCGTGTGTGAAAATGTACCTGGCAATAAACCCGATTCTGATTCTGATTCAGATTTTTGGTTTAGTATTTGTACTCATCCCTACCTAAATATTTCCATGTAAACATATCTGTGGGGAGTAAAGAGGTCGGAGCCTACACGCCAAACTGTAACTATTATTCCTGCTGTATTAAACATTTCATGTGAGTTGTGTGACTGAAATGTTGCTGACATCAAGCCTACTACACAGGTCATATCTAGTGTACAGTGTATCTTAATAAGTGAGTCAAGTGCATTAGATTGCAACAATCTAATGATGAAAGTGTAATTTTTCAGCCAGTGCATAATAACATAATAAACAAAAAGTGCTAACTTTAAATGGAAAAATGGAACATTTCTCCAATCCCCCCAGCGTGTTTGAGGAAGTAAAAGATTATGTCTCTACTTGTGTGTCACACATTTTGAATAGGCAGGACAAAACCAATTATCACAATATGTTCTTTGTTAACTTGGATAAAATCATCCCTATTTGATTTGTCAAAATAAATAATAATAATTCACATCACACATCATTAATTTACACATACACTTACAAGGTTTGTCTGTTCAGTTTATTCAATTTCATTTCATATTCTCAAAATTTGAATCATTTCAAATTCTTTAGCTTTCCTATTCACTTTTTACACATGTAATTTACCAAACTGAATAGATACATGGATAAATATGCTGTAACATATTTCAAAGAGATAAAATGCAAAAGGAACCTAATCTTGAGCATGCATTCAGTACCCCTGTTTGCTGTTTTTGTGAGTAATTGTATTGTCCGTTTCTTATATAGTTAATGTATCTCACTTGGACTTTTTTCAGGTAATGCTTCCATGTCACAACATTTGGTTTAAAAAAGCTCCAGCAACAACATTCCAGCTTACTTTTATTAAAACATATTACAGTAACAGCACAGCAATGTTCATTCATAGGGGCTGAGAAAGTGCACTGAAAGCCTTTCCACACATCATCATATAAACTGACGTGTTTTACCTTTTTTTTTTTTAATACATATTATCAATTACTTGGTTAATTTACAAGAAAGTGACATAAAAATAATACCTATATAATACATATATTTTGTAGAAATAAAATTATAAAAACAAACTATATTGCATTGTTTAATTTCAAAAGTGAACGTCTAGTTGGAGGGTAGTTCCAAAATAACAGTAGAGTTTCGTGCTATAAAAGTCACATTCTGAGTAACGGAAGTGCTCTGGCCAGTGCTTCGCTCCCTGCTCTTCCTCCTGGGACTCCCACAGTGTAAAAGCTGCAAGAGATGTCTTCGCAACTTTTGCGAGAGCATATACAGCAGAGGGTTCATACAGCAGTGAGAAAAAGCAAGTATACGACAAATCGAAAAGGCAATTTCAAAGCGTTCAAGCGCGTTACAGCCTTTGGGGTTATAGATAGACTCAATGAAAAGTAAGATGTTGTAAGGTCCCCAGCAGATGAAGAAGGCTGTAACAATACATAACACCACTATTACAGTCCTGTGCCTTTTTCTGTTTGAAGCCTGAAAAACGGTCTTGAGGATGGCAGAATAACAGAAAACAATGATGACAAATGGGAGGAAAAAGAGCAGTGACACTTGGAGATAATATCCCAGTTTGACATCAGAGTCATCAAAGGGAGAATCACACACGTACCCCTTGTGTGAGTTAGTTTCCTTTACTTTGATAGCATCACTTATGGATGCAGCAATGCTGATGGTCCATGCAGCTGCACAGGCGGCCATTGCACACATCTGCCTCCTTACAGGTTTGCTCGGCCAGATGTGCAGCACCACTGTTATGAAACGGTCCACAGTCATGGCAGTCAGCAGAATGACGCTACTGTACGAACCAACAAAGTATGCTGCAGTCATAAATTTGCAGGCAAAGTCACCAAAGACCCAGTGGTGCAGGCTCTGAACTGCCCAGAATGGAAGTGTGACAGTGAAGATGATATCAGAGAAGGCCAGGTTCAGGACAAACAGATTTGTGACATTTTTCAGCTTCTCGTAGAGGACAAGAACGCATAAGAGGAGAATGTTGCCTGTGACACTGAAGATAAAGATCAAAATAAAGAAAGCACCGCTGATGGTTGCAAAGTCAAATATGTCAGGACAGAAATATTCCACATCACCACTGTCTGTGTTGTCCTCCATTGTAGGTTTTCTAGAAAACACAAAGACAAACCTAAAATTGGCACAACATACTTATGACTGTGCACGTCTAGACCCTTTTAACAACTTGTGATTTTAAAAAAACAACTTCTTTGTAAAATTGATTAAAATGGTGAGCAATTAAGTACTAAGTAGGTTACTGTTAAAATATGGAGCGCAATCACAGTAAGAACTAAGCAACTTACCCTGAACAACGGCGGTCAGGTCTTGGGCTGATCTGCACTGTGGAGGAAAAGTTGTGATGTACTAGAGTGAACCTCATGGTTCCTGTTTTTGTTTCCTATGAAGCGATCTCATCAGTTTTCCCGTTTCAGCATTAGTACGCTTTCAATGAAAGCAAAATGCAGACATGCAAACTATGTGAAAAAGGCAACATATTTGCGAAACAAACCCCTGTAGGTGGTGTCTGGGGGCATTTCCCCTCAGAAATTATTTTGTGATTTTAACATGTAAACGAAAAATTCAGGTGTACTCTGAAAATAAAATAAAGTTATGTTTGAACTGTTCCTCATTGTTATTGTGCCTGGTTTCAGCTTTGAAGACATGATGACTGCAACAGTGGGTTTACTTTACTATAATTGCTATTCAGTGTTTCTCCTAGGATTGAGTTGTAGCAGTAGAGATGAAGCAAATTTGTTTTGTGTGTGCTCACAAAGTGCTTCCTGCTTTATATCTGGATATAAAACACCAACACAACATCTATGTATGCAAACAAATTTAGGTGGGCAGGTGTTTTGTGGGTCCACCCCCAAGAAAATGTAATGTTTTCCAATAAAGAAATGTGCAATTTCACATCATTTTGGACCATTATTATTACCATATCAGTGGACAAAAAGTTAGAAAAGCTAGAGCAGATTGTAAATTAACAACACTGAAAAAATTAAACTTGCTAAAGAAGTCTGCTGGGGAGGAATTATAACCATTGGACCGTTAGAAAAGTAATTTTGTTAGATTTGATGCTCTCCACAATGATTGTACGTTCAGGGCACAGCACCCTGAGCCGTTTTGGGCCTTTTATTAGCGTCACTCATTCATTCAGCTGACCATAATAAAGGACACTATAAGGTGTAAGACATTATATGGTACCAAACAAAGGAAAAAAACAACAACCATCCCTACAATCAATTTTCAAGTGGTCATAGCGGACATAGCAGAATGTAGTAATAATTAAAGGTATGAGAAATTATAAGGTCAGGGGTGATCTTCCAAGCTTGTTCCACCAGAAGAACCCAATGAAGGAACCTGTCTCCAAACACACTTGTTCTGATTTTATTTCTGGGCAGAATTCACTGTCATTATAAAACATATCATAGAAGACACTGTTACAGTTACTGCCAAGGGTAATTGTTTACTTGTTGATGTCTTTTCCATCCAATGCTGTAAAATAGATTTTGCATTTGCAAACAACTCTCATTATGACTTTATCAATAGATACGTAAATATTCTGCACATATCATGTCATTTAAGACATTTAAACTGTAATGGAAACCTGAATATGGAAAAGATGGATATTGACTGAAACTTGATAATGTTGAATTAACGTCCAAAAATGTGGAATTAAACATATGTAGTCAAAGCCAATAATGACATCATACTGACACCATTTTGTTTCAGAAATGTAAATGATTTTAAAGTTAGCCTACTACACTGGTCATATGTAGTGTACAGTGTATTTAAATAAGTGGGTCAAAGAGAACTGTGATGACAAAGATCTAATAATGAAAGTATAACATTTCAGCCGTTGCATAACATAATAACCAAAAGTGCTTACGGCAAATGGAAAAACAGAACATTTCTCCAATCCCCCCAGCATGTTTGAGGAAGTAGAAGATTATGTCTCTACTTTTGTCACACATTTTGAATAGGCATCGACAAAACCAACTATTCGCAATTTGTTCTTTGTTAACTTGGATAAAATCATCCCTATTTGATTTTTCAAAAAAAAAAAAATTCACAGCAAACATGTCATTAATATACACATGCACTTACAAGGTTTGTCTATTTAGTTTATTCAATTTCATTTCATATTCTCAAAATTTGAATCAATAATCTCAAGTTTAATTTCATCCAAATTCTTTAGCTTTCCCATTCACTTTTTACATAAATTATTTACCAAACTGAATAGATACATGGATAAATATGCTGTAACATGTTTCAAAGAGGTAAAATGCAAAAGGAAACCTTATCTTGAGCATGCGTTCAGTGTCCCTCCAGGTACTATTTGCTGTTTTTATGAGTAATTGTATTGTCCGTGTCTTATGTATTGCACTTGGACTTTCCTCATAATTTTAAATCCAGGTCATGCCCCCATGTCACAACATTTGGTTTTACCTTATTTTATTTTATTTTTTTTGCACATATTATCATTTACTTGGTTAATTTACAAGAAAGTGACATAAAAATAATACCATATATTTTAAAGAAGTGCAAAATATTAAAAAATATCTAAAAATTAAATAAATACAAACTATATTGCATGAAAACATTAACAGACTGAACAAATGAAGAAGGCTATAAGAATACACAACACCACCATTACAGTCCTGTGATTTTTTTTGTTTGAAGTCTGCAAAACGGTCTTGAGCATGGCAAAATAACAGAAAACATTAATGGCAAATGGGAGGAAAAAGAGCAGGTCTTCTTTAGTTTCCCCATTCACTTTTTACATAAATAATTTACCACACTGAATAGATACATCGATAAATATGCTGTAACATATTATACACATCAAAGAGATAAAATGCAAAAGGAAACCTTATCCTCTTCCTTATCTTAAATCCAGCCCATGCTATTATTTTGCAACATTTGGTTTTAAAAAAGGAAGAAGTGAAAACAGCTCCAGCAACTACATTTCAGCTTACTTTTCTTAAAACATATTACTGTAACAATTTCAATTTTCATTCATAGGGGCTGAGAAAGTGCACTGAAAGCCTTTTCTCACATCATCATATAATCACATGCTTTAACTTGTTTTAAACATATTATCAATTACTTGGTTCATTTAAAAGAAAGTTAAAACTGAATGATGTATTTTAAGGAAATGTACATAACATAAAAAAATAACTTTAAAATTAAATAAATACAAACTACAGTTTATCACATGAAAGCGTTTACAGATTGAACAAATTTTTCAATTCAAAAGTGCTCTGGCCAGTGCTTCGCTCCCTGCTCTTCCTCTGGGGACAATCACAGTGTAAAAGCTGCAAGAGATGTCTTCGCAACTTTTGCGAGAGCATATACAGCAGAGGGTTCATACAGCAGTGAGAAAAAGCAAGTATACGACAAATCGAAAAGGCAATTTCAAAGCGTTCAAGCGCGTTACAGCCTTTGGGTTTATAGATAGACTCAATGAAAAGTAAGATGTTGTAAGGTCCCCAGCAGATGAAGAAGGCTGTAACAATACATAACACCACTATTACAGTCCTGTGCCTTTTTCTGTTTGAAGCCTGAAAAACGGTCTTGAGGATGGCAGAATAACAGAAAACAATGATGACAAATGGGAGGAAAAAGAGCAGTGACACTTGGAGATAATATCCCAGTTTGACATCAGAGTCATCAAAGGGAGAATCACACACGTACCCCTTGTGTGAGTTAGTTTCCTTTACTTTGATAGCATCACTTATGGATGCAGCAATGCTGATGGTCCATGCAGCTGCACAGGCGGCCATTGCACACATCTGCCTCCTTACAGGTTTGCTCGGCCAGATGTGCAGCACCACTGTTATGAAACGGTCCACAGTCATGGCAGTCAGCAGAATGACGCTACTGTACGAACCAACAAAGTATGCTGCAGTCATAAATTTGCAGGCAAAGTCACCAAAGACCCAGTGGTGCAGGCTCTGAACTGCCCAGAATGGAAGTGTGACAGTGAAGATGATATCAGAGAAGGCCAGGTTCAGGACAAACAGATTTGTGACATTTTTCAGCTTCTCGTAGAGGACAAGAACACATAAGAGGAGAATGTTGCCTGTGACACTGAAGATAAAGATCAAAATAAAGAAAGCACCACTGATGGTTGTAAAGTCAGATATGTCAGGACAGAAATATTCCACTTCACCACTGTCTGTGTTGTTCCCCATTGTAGGTTTTCTAGAAAACACAAAGACAAACCTAAAATTGGCACAATGTACAAAAAATAAGTACATCTACACCCTTTTAGTAATTAGTGATTTAAAAACAAAATTTCATTGTAAAATTTAATATGAAGGTTACTGTTAAAATATGGAGAGCAATTACTATAAGAAATAAGCAACTTACCCTGAACAACGGCGGCCACGTCTTAGGCTGATCTGCACTGTGGAGGAAAGATTGTGAAATACAAGAGATAACCTCATGGTTCCTCTTTTTGTTTCACATTGCTGCATCAGTATTCTAGTTTCAGCATTAACACACTTTGAATTCAAGCAAAATGGGTGTCATAGGTTTGTCTTTTGTAAAGTTACCTTGAAACAGCAGTGATTTATGAAGTTATTCACTATTCAAAACAGAGACAGTCCAGAACTTAAACGGAGTGATTTTTATTTCATTGTAAAGCATATTATCATGTGAAAACAAACACTTTAACAAATCAATTACCTAAATGATCAAAAGCAAAATATTTTCCCTTTTACTTGCATGATTCTGGAAAACAGTAATAATAAAAATATTAAATATTTGATTGAAATGATTGGTATGAAGACATAAAGTAACACAGTTATTCAAAGAATCACATCACATACAGTCATTTTATCCATAATACAATATAATAATATCATCAGTTTATCAGCATTCTTTTGAAATCACGTGCAAGCAGACAGAGACACAGGGCTCATTGTTCTTGATTAATAGTGATTGAAAACTACAAGAATATTGGATAAAATTATGGATGAAATACAATACATTACATATCACTTTTGTCAAATAAAAGCCTCATACATATACACTCAGTGCATCAGTTACACCTTCATTATAATGGGTAGGACCCCACCTTTGCCCCAGAACAACCTAAATTCTTTATGGGTCGGATCCAGTAAGGTGTTGGAAACCTTCCTTAGAGATTCTGGTCCATGTTGACTTGACAGCATTACACAGTTGCTGCAGATTTGTCAGCTGCACATTGATGCTGCTTCTAGTTGTCCCACATACCAAAAGTGCTCAACTGGATTGAGACCTGGTGACTTTGGAAAACACTGAACTTGTTACCAGCCAGCTTGAGATGATGTGTTTTCTGTGACATGTTGTGTTATACTGATGGAAGTAGCCATTAGAAGATAGGTAGCAGCAATACTTGGGTAGGCTGTGGCATTTATATGACTGAATCAGTAGTTGTTGAGGGGTCTAATGTGTCACATGGCATAAATGCAGCTGGAGCCCTGAAGGTCCAGGGCTTGTGGAAAATGGTGTTCATTAATGGCTGTTAAAAACAGAGATATAGAATAAACAATTATATTACAGCGTTTACCAAAAAACGGTCTCATTACAACAGTTTGTAAATTGAAATTGAGTTTGTAACTCCCTTCTGCTATGAAGCAGACAATATACAGCAATATCAAAGCAATAATAAAAATAAACAGAAATAGGGCTGGGCGACAAGGCCAAAAATGATATTACAATAAAAAAATCATATCATTTGATATCGATAATTGTCACGGTAAATGTCAAGTTTAAAGGCTGATTTTATGATTATCATTATAGTTTTTTTCCCAGCCCTAAACAGAAATTAACTATCATCAATGGAAGTGCTGTGGAGGAATTTGAGCTCAAGAGTCTGATAGCTTCTAATATTTAATATAGAAACCTGCTCTGCAGTCTGGTGGTGTGGCAGTAGAAACGACTATGTCTCTTCCCAGAAGGCAGCAGGGTGAACAGGCTGTGGCTGGCCTTGGTACAGTCCTTTAGTATACTTTGAGCTCTGCGTAGGCTCCTCTCCTCACCGATATCACTGATGCTCGGGAGATGAGTACCAATGATCTTCTGAGCAGTTTTAATCTCCCGCTGCAGAGCCCTCCGGTCCTTTACTGTTTTAAGCCTGGAGTTTTTGTTGTTTGCGTTATATATTAGATTTTTTATTTGGTATTATTTCGTCATTCCAGTTTCACTTGTGCTCTCAACTACATCGAAAACTCTTCACCACTTGTCTGCGATGTGATTGTGACTCGGCTTTGCCTATTGCCGATGCTGCTATTGGTGTGGCCCAAGCCCTTCAGCATTTTCTTCAAGTGGTTTTTGAATTTAATACCTACAAACACGTAAAACACAGGGTTTAGGCAGCAGTGTGAAAAGGCAAAAAGCCGGCTAATGTAAAAGGCGTAATCCAGTAGTTCTGATGTGTCACAACCTTCAGCCACATCGTTTGAGTTTGCAGGTGGTTTAGGCCAGGAATACAATGACCGCAGAAATATAACACTATTGTAAGGTGCCCAGCCAACGAAGAAAACAACCATGAGGGTAAAAATGAGTTTTAAAGTTTTGTTCTTTCTTCTTTGGGCAGTAGGACGCAGCAACCTGCACATGATCTGAGAATAGCAAAACACGAATACCACCGAACTCAGAATGAAAAGAACATTTTGCTGGTAGATTCCCCATAAAGTCCAGTAAGAATTCCTGTATTCACAGAAATTCTGGTTCTGGACTTCGATGAACAAGAAGGCTGGACTGGCAACCAATATGCTCACTGCCCAAATGACCACACATGTGAGGACACTGTAGAAGCCCGTGGTAGACACAATGCCAGACAGAGGATTCATGACAGCTACATAACGGTGAGCAGTCATCAGGATGAGGAGAATACCGCTGCTGTAGAAGCCGACGTAGAAGACAAAGTTGACTATTTTGCATGCAGGTTCCCCTAAAGTCCATCCATACATGTGGTAGTAGGCCCAGAAGGGCAGACCTGCGGTGAAGAAGAGATCCGATATAGCCAGGTTCAGGATGAAAGTGTTGGTGAGGGATTTCAGATTCTCATACTTGGCCAGAATCACAATGACCAGGATGTTGCCAAACAGACTGAGGACCACCACAATGGAGAAGAACACTGGTGTGAAGCTCGCTCCAAACTGCACAACGCGTGTTTTATTGCACACTTCATCTTCATAGTCGTAATAATCATAAGTGGAGTTTGTGGTGAGGTCATAGGTAGCTGTAAAGTCTTCAGTTGAAGCCATATTCCTTCAGCAAGAAGAAAAAGTCTGAATTTATGAAAAGGTTTTGTTAGAGGGGTAAATCAAACTTGCTTAATGATTATTATATTATAAAAAAAGTTTTTCATAGATTTCTAATGTGTGACTAGACTATTACATGATTGTCTAAGTACATGAACACATTTTGTCTGGGAAACATAGTTATCTAATATCATTAGATAACTATGCATTAAAGCTAGACTTTCAAAATAAGAAATACAACATTCTTTGTTTCTTATCACACTGGCGATGAAATGGGGAAAAAGACTGCTATTGTTTTATGTCATTATATCCACATTAGAAATATTTCAGTGAAACACTTTTTTTAACATGATAATAGTTTATTTCTGTTTTATAACAAAATACAAAACACTGTAAACTTTACCTTCAGTACTGCAAACCTACCCTACCATATGAGATATCTTTATGATAACAAATAAGACTAATGTGGAAACAAATACTGTACCTGCAGTGTCCACACACTGGAGTCCTTCCTGAAGATATCACTGAAGACTTGGTGAATTGTTCCTTAAGTATCAACCACAAAGGTGAACAGAAATCAATTCATGTGACAAGACAGGTCCTCTTTTATCGTAAAAGTATGTTTTTGTTGACCACTACATTAGTGAAGTGAAAGGTATTTTAGAGGTTCAAGAAATAAACATTTTACATTTGTGTAACTGTTAGGTGACAGTTGCACCTGTAACAGTACAAGTTAACTATTTTAATTTCCCAATAGCAACTTTCCACCACAAATAAAAAACGATTATTATTAATCATTATTTTTAAATAAACTAACAATAACTGCGAACACAATCCAATAGTGCTGCAAACACAAGTTGTGGATAATTTTACTGAATAATTGATTCATCATATAGCCTATAAAATGCCACTTCAAATGTTTTGTTTTATTTGACCAACAGTCCAACACCAAAATATATTATTATGAAACCGAAAATGTAATGGAACTGGTAGCACTAGTGAATCTTTTGTTTTTTGCTTAATATATAACTTAGACTAATCTATTATCCCAAATAGTACTTAATTTTCTGCTGAATTACTAAGGATTAATAAACATGTAAAACAAAATAAACGTGTGTGTATGTATGTCTTTTCCTTATTTTCTTGCCTATACAGTTGGTCTGAAAATTATTATTTATAAGATGGGTGTCTCCTTTGGTCCTCGGGGCGGCTGTGGCTCAGGAGTTAGAGCAGGTTGCCTGTTAATGGGAAAGTTGGTGGATCAATCCCTGGCTCCTCCTACTAATACTGAACCCCAAATTGCCAGTGTAGGCTCAGTGAATGAATGTGGGTGAATGCAGATGTAGTGTAAAAGTGCTCTGAGTGGTCAGAAAGGCGCTAAACAAATATGGAGCATTTACATCCTTTCACTTAATTGATTTAACCTTTATTTAAACAAGGTAAGTTGACTGGAAATACCAGCTTTTTTACAGCAGCGTCCTGTTAGCAGGATAACAGGAACTTAAGAGCCAATAAATAAAAGTTAAATAGTGAATAAGCTACAGTCTCAGTAAAAGCAGCTGCAGGCAGACTGGTTATTGAGAATGATCTTAAACTACTGCACTACCACCAAAGTCATTATTTTTCTGGGTCAGCTCTTGTTCTGGCCCCCTGGAGAATCCTAAATATTAAGAACTGTCTTTTGTTGTTGTTGGTTGGTTGTTTTTTCTCCTTTTTGTGCATTTATTTATTAAGGTTTTTTATGTTCTGTTTTTATTATTCACAAAAATATAATAACAAAATTAGGTTAAAATCTAAGACATTTAGGGACCTTGTGTATTTCAAAATCCATCTTCATGCCATTAATTCTTTCAAAATTCACAAAATATAACCTTGTCCAGCCATGTACAATAAAATGTACATGTAATTTAAACAAATATTCGTATTCTTTTATTGTATTTTAAGAAATATTAGGTTTATTAAATTAGAAATATTAGGTTCATCTGTTTATTTACCATTTGTCTCTCAACCAAACTTTCAGCGCTAGCAGACAGATATTTGTCCGTTGGGCCTGTCAATCATCCACAGTTCCCGCCCCCAGCGGTAGCAAGTTTCTGCTGTATCACCTACAAACTGGAGACTCTGGACAATTTTATTCATCAAGTACGTCTATTATTTTAGTATGTAGTTAATATCGAAACGTTTGGCTTTATTTACAACCAAACCGTGATGGTTTGTAACAGAAATGTACAGCTAACACGATGCGGAAATGAAGAGCTGAGAACAGGTGCATGTCCCTAAGCGCTCGCCAGCTTTGACAAATCCATGTTTATGTCGCGGTTTGTTGCATTTTAACGCAGATTGAAAGTGGTTTAAGTCAGCTTTGCTGGTTTAGGCAGATAACAGTAGATACATCTTGTTTCAGTGGGATCTGATAAGGACACTGTCGCTACAAACAACGACACTGTCACATGTTGTCTGATGTAAATGTTGTAACGTTATCTCCTCTCACTGCAGGCAAACGTTGCTAAATTTACTGAGCTACTGTGACTCCTTCTGTGCGTCACCAAAACAAATTAATGGGCCCCTCCGACATATTTAAATCGTCTCATTTGTTATAGTCTTCTTGGGTTGTGCAGAATTCAACACCGTCTTTATGAAATATTTTTACAGCAGCGGGAAAGTAATTTAGGACAGGACTATTTTAATGTTTACCTCGTAGTGGTAGCAGCTTTGGCATGTTTTAACAGTCACATGCTGTAATTATTATATTTTTTTTTTTTTCAGGCACAGTATTCAAGGAAATGAGGAACACTGTTTATATCATAACATTTCGGGAAATAATAAAAAAAAATTTAACATAATCTCTTGTATTTTAAATCCCACATACAGTCCTGACTCTGCTGCCCTTTCCCCACCATGGCCGCCTCCTCATCAGTTGGAGATAATCAACTGCAGAGGATAATCAGGGATCTGCATGGTAATTATCTGTTCACACTTACAGTAAACACCATCTCATACAGTATATTGCTCTGTGTGCCATGCTATATATAGATATATGTGTGTTGATATTTGTGCGTGTATCTGGTAATAATGGTTTTACTGTCTTGGTTAGACGCTGTGTTAGAGTTGAGTAAAGAACACAAGGAGTGCGGTGAACCCGTAACTGATGACAGCGCCAACCTGCGGAAGTTCTTCTATAAACTTGAATACCTGCTACAGGTATGGTAGCCTATATCAAAGCATGAAACATTTAGTACAACAAATTTTTATTTAAGCAATTTAAGCAAAGTTTTACTTAGGGTTTGGCAGGATGATCCTGTTTGAGTTTGTAAACGTGCCAACGCTGCTCATCTGACTCTCTAGACCAGTATTTCCAAAACCCCTAAAGAGCTCTCAAGATACATTTTGAGAGGGGTTGTGAGATGATTTAAAAGTTTTGTCTTCTCCCTAAATCTGTTTTTTTCTTGTGAGTTATAATTTTTCAGGCCTCTAAAATCCTAAGGGCCTGTGTCCACCAAAGCGTTTTTTGCCAGCTGAAAACGCCACCTGCTCTTCTGAAAACGCCTAGCTGGGAGCGCTAGGTTGCGTTTTGGAGGCGCAGTGTTTTTTTCGAGACGCTGTGGTTGCTATGATACATAATTTCCGTGGAGGCAATGTGTTGCAAGTAGGGTAGCCTACTGAATGTTAGTGAATGTAAAAATGTCACCACAAAGTATGTAGGCCTACTTGATCTTGCCCTTTTGCTCTGCATTGCTTGACTACAAATAGTCATAAGTTAAAAAGACTGGGAACCAGTCCTCTATACCAGTGAACCCTCAACATGAAGCACCAATGACCCCTCATCACAAGTTATTTATCTACAAGTTGTGAGCAATTCCACCAAAATATGATTTTTCTTTCTTCTCTGAACCCTTGAGATTGTTTTATTTTGTTAGAGACAAGTTGAAATGATGAGTATTTCAGTAGAAACAATTTAATAATATAAATATGTGTGTGACCAATTAAATCGTGACCCTTTGGAGAGGTGTCAACTCCCTTATTGGGAACCACAGTTCTAGAAATACTAAGGTGAAACATGAAGGAAGTTCATAGGAATTACATTGATTGCAATGTGACCCAAACTCTCAGCTACACACAGCACTGTCAGGCAGACCTGTTGTACAATGTGTGTTAGGTAATGCAATAATAAGCAGGTGTGTGTGTTTCTTAGTTTGACCAGAAAGAGAAGACAACGTTTCTCGGTCAGAGAAAAGACTACTGGGATTACTTCTGCGACTGCCTGATTAAGATCAAGGGAGCTAACGATGGCATCCGTTTTGTTAAATCCATCCCTGAGGTAATCCTCCTCTGCAATACACACACACAATCACCCTCTGTGCCTCTGCCCTGCCATGGCTGGCAACACATGCACACACACACAAATACACAGTGACTGTACAATAATGTCACTAATCTCCTGCTTGGCCAGGAACGGTAAGACTCTAATTTACTTGCTGCCTTACACCTGCACCTACTGTACTGTGCTGTTCCTCTTCCTCACCTTCTATCCTGGGAAGTCACAGGGGTGAGATTCATACTGGAATAACTGTAGTTGAATTAGTCCTAATTTGGACTATATTTAATTAATTTCTTTATAAATTATATATGTATAGTATAATTTGTAGCTTGTTTAACCTTTTGTGTGCCTGATATTGAGGTCTTTTGTGCTTAAAACGCTTCAAAGTGTACTCTAAAGAGTACACAAGCAGCGAATCTTCACATTGGAGGAGCAACGACCAGCAGTTATTCAACTTTTTTGGTTCTCTCTTAACAATGAATCAGTTATCTTAATTATTTTTGCCAATTTGCCAAAAAGTCAGTAAGTAACTGAATATCTGATGTGAATCGATGAAATATGATGAATCAAAACTGTAATGTCTTGTCTTCAGTGTCTGCCAGCCCAATGTCCTTTTGGTACATTTAAAAAAGTGCATGGCTGACATATTTTTATATTGTGCTGCTTGTTAATACACATCCAACAGTTGAATTTGGAAGTGGATTAATATAGCCAGAGAGGCATGTTGGGGTGCGGTGTAGGGCAAATGATTGTTTTCATTATCAATTCATCCAACAATTATTTTCTCAGTTAGTTGATTAATATGCTTGTTACGATTTGTCAGAGTCCAAGGTGTTCTTATAGCTTCTGATTTCTCGTTTTGTCTGACCAATAGTCCAAAACTCAAAGATATTCATTTTACTATCGTCTTGTATCTATGAGAAAGAAAAGCAAGAAATCTTCACATTTGAGAAGCTGAAACCAACAAATGTTCGACATGTAAGTAAGCTGTATTCTAGCATGAGAGAGCTAATTACTGAATAGTTTCTGCTTTATAAGCATGGTAAGACCACATGTCTGATTTTAGGCTTATTAGCAATCATTAGCAAAACATATTTGTGGTTTAAAATTTCCTCAGGGATTTACAACAGTCAGTATGGTTTTCTTTAAAAATCACATTGTTAGTCAATACCAGCTGACTGCAAATTACTAGTTCAATACCTCTTACTTAAAATATTACTTTTACTCTTCTTTCTCCATGTCGGTCAGTAACTGACGTAAGTCGGTCTCCAGCTGGTGTCCTTCTGGCGGGTCTGTTGTCTGACTTAAATCCCTCCATCTGCTAATGTATTGGAGACTCTGGGCTTACATACAAATACTGTCAATTTAGCGCCTATGCAGTGATTACCTTTAAACTGAGAAATCCTTAAATGTTCAGTGCCAGGACACATTTTAACACAAGAACACATTTTTACATTGGGGTCAATCAAAGATGAAATTAACCAATCAGTTTATCGATCAGCAGAAACTATTTATCATGAGGCATTTCTCCATCAAAAAAAACCCCATACATTCCCTGGTTGCAGTTTCTCTAAAGTGAGGATTTTCTGCTTTTCTCTGTTTTATATTGTTGTGAAACAAATATCTTTGGATTTTAATAGACATTCGAAAACATAATTTTGGACTGTGGGAAAATGTGATGGACAGTTTTTGTTATTTTCTGAAATCAGGTTAATAAACTAAGAGAGACAATAATGGGGAGATTAATCTACGGTTAATGTCCTGCTATTGTGACAAATAGAGATTATCCAGAAAGCAGGAGCCACTTGTTAAATAGTTTGACCTGTGTGATACTGACTAGACTATAAAAGAACACATCAGTGGGGTAATGTCTGTATGTATATTTTGTGTGTCCTCAGTTGAAGACATCACTGGGGAAAGGAAGGGCCTTCATCCGCTACTCGCTCGTTCACCAGCGACTTGCTGACACACTGCAGCAGTGTCTTATAAACGAGAAAATCACAAGGTTAGAGGACACACACACAAACATACATACATACATACATACATATAATGTATATGTGTAATATTCTGTGACTTTTGTTCCTATCAGGTTGCATAGACATGTTGTGTTTTCTTCACAGTTTGACGGTGTCCGTTCTTAGGAAGTACGACTCTCCCTTCCTGATTTATGTCTTATTTCTGTTTTTATCAGAAAACGCAACAGCCTTACAGCCTAACCACAGTGACCTACAGTCACATCTCACTTCCTCAGAGTTTCCAACCAAATGTCTATTATGTTCTTGCTTCATTTAACCAGGATGCTCTATCTCTGTCCGTTTCTCAGTAGAGTGTGGGTGTGAATGTGTGTAGGTGGGTGGGTGGGTGTGTGTGTGTGTGCGCATGCGTGTGTCATAGACTGTATTTTGTTGTAATTTTTGTATGTAAAGGAATGGTTTGACATTTTAGTAAATATGCTTTTTTGCCAAGAGTTGGACAAGAAGCTCAGTACTACAGTTTGTACGATAAATTGTAAGCTACAGCCAGCAGCCACTTAGCTTAGCAGCCTGGCTGTGTTCAATGGTAACAAAATCTGCCTATTAGCACCTCTACAGCTCATTAATCAAAAGTGTTCGTTGTGGCACCTTTTATATTTTGATTTAGTTTTAGTCTTAGTAATTTGACAAAAAAAGTAGCTATAATGTTAGCACCGGTGAAAGCCATTGTTATCCAAAATGCTGTCCAGACGCAGGTCTTTTGAATTGGAAACCATGGATCGAGTTTTGTTGCTGTGCTGTGTCCCTACATGAGATTAAGCATATCTTATCTTGTCTTTACATATATAGCACAATATTAACTTAGAACACCTTGCATAACTAATAGTATAACATTATTGCATAAAAAAGATGCTTGTATGTGTTTTATGTTTTTATAATTTGTATTCTTCCCATGCAGTGACTGGTATTATGCCCGAAGTCCTTTCCTCAAGTCTCACCTCACTGCTGACATAATCAGCTATCTCTATGAGCTCAATCAAATCCAATTTGATGTGGCAGCCAGAGGTTACGACCTTGATGCCGATTGGCCTTCCTTTGCGAGGTAACCCATGTACACCATTAATTGCTGACCTTTTCACAATTGTCAGTTTCCTAACTTTTGTTGAAGGAAAAAAAAGCTTGAATCTGGGTGTTCTTCTGATGAAAACAGACACTTATTAAAGAAATAAAAGCTGTAGGTCTTCCACTTTGGGGTTGTAAATGATTTGTAAATTGATTGGAGAGAGACCTGAAGTAATTTGAAATAACACTCCAGTTTAGTGCAGCTAATGCAAAATTGTGGTAAAGCAGTTTTGGGGGTTTCACAACTTGAAGTAACACTTAATTATCTGATCACTCTGCACATTCACAGCTCTTTTTTTTTGTGTGTGTCTTGGACGTGTATGCGTGTAAATGTGCCAACAGTGTGAGGGTTGGTCGCTGTCAGCACCTTTGCCAAATCTTTCCACTTCATTATCATCAATTTGCAGTCACTCTACAGGCAGCGGTCACTCATTTTTAAAAGCATAATTTATGTTGTTTACATTATTGTAAATATTATTTAAATTTTACAGTAAAATGCAGTGCAGCAACACAAGATTACCCAAAAAGGGTTGAATCGAAACCTGCCACACATGTTATAAACACAAAATGACGATGATTATGAATGAAGGATTTCTTAAGTGAGTTATTGTATAGCATTTCATTAGACAGTATAAACTGTATAATTATGGTGTACACCCCATGCATTCTTTAGTTGTTTTTTTGGTACTTAAACGCAAATATTTGTTTTGCATTTTCTTTGAGTAGCCTCAAATTATTTGATACACACACCCACACAGTGCATTACACTTTTTTTTCACACAAATCGTGACTGCGTGACTCAAAGGAAACAGTTTCATCACTGTACAAGAGAAATAAGTGACAACATATCACTCTAGCTTTCATTTACTTCCAGAAATAGGCTTTCTCTGAAAATAGGTTAGTGACAGCCTTGCCCTTTTTGAGATGTAGTAGTAATAGTACATTGTGACATTGTGACGTGTAAATTCTTAAGATATTTCAGTGAAGTTACTGCTTAAAAAAGTTTGAATTTATTTCAATGAATTGATAGCATAATCTTTTGACAAAGCAATGGTCATGCAGAAATGTTAAACATGTCTTTCTGTGCAGCAGCAAACAAAGTAAAATGGGTTTCCAACAAATAAATGAATGTTTTTGTGCTTTGAAGTGAATTGTTATCGGTCACTAAGTCATTTATCAGTTCTTTCAAACAAATTCCTCTGAAAATCCACAACCAGCTTAAAATTTAACACAGGTACATACTCTAACTGTAACTATAATTTCCTGGTACGTTTTGTTTTTGTTGTACCTGGTGTTACTATATACCCACCTAAAGACTCACTTCTGTCAAATTAAGTTCCTCTTTTGTGTTGAAAGTGTTGTAGTTTTTTTTTTTTCATCAGTTTCGTGTCATGTTTGTCTTACATTTACTATTACATTTTAATGACCCTAATTTTTGTTCTCTCATTATGTCAAAGGCGAACGTTAGGAACTGGCTCATCGGCTTACCTGTGGAAGCCTCCCAGTCGCTGCTCCAGCATCAACAGTCTTGTTAGCAGCTACTCACACTCACAGGTACACACGTACTTATATATATTTTATATGTATAAATATTTGAGTAAATATGTTTTGAACTTTAAAGCACCTGACCACAGCTCTCTTGTTCCATTCATTGACCAGGCCCAGGAGTTTCTCCCAATCCCAGACTTGAGTCCTGGTGTTATTGAACTGGGAGAACCCTCTCCTTGCAGCATCGCAGAGAACCTCCGCATTGAGCTCGACCAGTCCGAGCTCAGACAGCAAGAGCTTTTGGTACAGGTTCAGGAGTTAGACAGAGAGGCTGCTGAGCTGAAGGGCGTGGTTAAAGACCTTCAAGGTCAGCTGTTAGCAGCTCAGAGGTCCTCTGACCACCCGGCAGGCGAAAGAAACCAATATACTGATAATCAGGAGAGAGCAAATCACTTTCAAACTTGTAGGGAAGCAATAAACGGTGAACTTCAAGATAGACTCACAGCTGCTGAGAACAAAAATATGGAGCTTCTCTCTAAGTTGGATGAGGCTCTTAAAGAAAAGGGACAACAAACAGCTAGCTACTGCGACTCAGCCTGGAAAATCCAGGAACTCCTGGATAAACTTAAAACAGCTGAGGAGGAGAGGTTGGAGGCAAAGAGAGAGGCTGAGGACAGGGCCAGGCACTCTGAGCGTCTGTCCCAGGAACTAAAACTCAGGGAAGAAGAGTTGAGGAACAGTGAGGGCAAGCTGGCTGAAGTAAAAGCCGGGGCCCATGACGAGCATGAGGAGGCGCTCAAACGGTTGGAGGAGCTCCAAAGTGCAGTCAGTCGAATTCAGGGGGCGCTGACTTTGAAAGAGAAGGAGACAGGGAATTTGAGAGCCCAGCTTCAGGATCTACAAGCGTCACTGGAGGGCAGAGAGCGACAGGCAGAGGAGCTGAGGAAAAGACTGCAGGAGGAGAGGGAGGAGGAAGAGCAGAGATGTAGCACGAGCAATAGCCAGAATGAGGAACTCGAGAGCCAGCTCCTCAATGTAAGAAAGACTCTGAAAAGCAGAGAGAAAGAGCTAACCATTAGTTCAGAGAGAATTAAGCATTTAGAGGAGCAGTTGGAGAAGCTAAACATTGAGAATGAAAGTCTGACCTCTAGACTTGCTGATAATGAGGATGTTTCATGTGATCAAACCAAGAACCTTGAGGACTACAAAACCCAATGCAGTAGTCTTGTGGAAATAAACGCTAAGCTTCTCCAAACAGTTAAAAAGAGTGAGGAGACCATTACAGAGTTGACTGAAAGCCGGACAGCCTTGTTAGACCAGCTACCTTCTTTGAGGGCATCCGAGAAGCATTTAACAGGCAGAGTTGAGGCCGCCAACATGTGTGTGGAAGATCGGGAGAAGAAGCTTCTGGATGAAAACCTGCATTTGGAGGAGACTTTCCAGAAGGCGCTTGTCCAGAAGGAAGTATCTGATGCTCAACTAAGGAAGCTAGAGCACGAGAACAGGGAGCTTCTTGAGGTTCAGTCCTCTTTGAAGAAACAGTTGGCCAGAACGCAACAAGAAGTGGACTCGCTCTCTGCCAAAGCTGCAAAGTTGGACAAGAACCTCACAGTGTCCCAAAGAAGCCAAGCAGAGTTACTTGAAAAACTACAGGAAACTGAGGCTAAACTGAGAGACCAGACTGTTAAATGTGGGCTTCTGCAAGCTAGAGCAGAGGAGCTGGAGAGCAGGACTGGAGAGCTGAACGATGAAAAAGGAGCTGCAGAGAGTAATGAAAAAATGCAGAAGCTTCACGATGAGCATCAGACGTCCTCAGTAGAAACCAAAGAGGCCCCTTTCAGGCTAGTTATGGCTGAGGCTCAACTAGAACTCAACCTACGGGAGGTGCACCGGCTCCAAGAAGAGGTGGTGGAGCTCAGGGCTCAGCTTCTAGCAGGAACTGAGGAGAGGATGAAGGCTCAGGCACTGCACGAGGTGACAGAGTCCTCCAGAGAAGACCTCCGTGTCTTAGCAGAACAACTCAAAGCTCAGGTAGAGGAGCTAAACCGCAGGCATGTGGATGAGATTCTTCGATCCCGGGAACGAGAGGAGGCTCTTATCCGTGAGCGTGACGGCGAGGCTCAGGCTCGAGCAGGTCTGGCTGCGGAGGTGACGGCCTCCAGAGAGGAGCTCAATAAACTGAAGCTGCGTTACGAAGCCTTGTGTCTGGAGAACAATGAATCTAGGGAGGCGCTCCACAGAGCCAACACCGAAACAGCTGAACTCGGCGTCCATGTGTGTATGCTAACCGCCGAGAATGAAGAGGCTCGTCTGCGCTGGGAGGGCTTGTCAACAAGGCTGCAAGAGCTGGAGGAGGAGGCGACTCAGGAGGCAGAGAGGCTGAATACCTGCATGGAGCAGCTACGTCAGGAGAACCAGCGACTCCACGATGAGCTCCATAATGAGGAGGGTTTGTTGGCGACCAAGCAGAAGCTGCAGCAAGAGCTGAGCAAGAACCAACATGAGGCTGAAGCTGTGCTGGAGACAAGTAAGGGGGAGATTGAGGCCCTCCGCTTCCAGCTTAGCGGCCAAGCCATGAGCCACGGCAGCCAGCTCCAGGTCAGCCACAAACACATGAATCACAAAAAAATGTAGTATGCTGTGATGCGTTTACATGTACTTAAGTAACTCAGTTGCACTTGGCTTTCTCCCGTAAGATGATTTGTTGAACTTATAAACGAGAAACTTGGTTTTTCTTAATCCAGGTAGGGATTGGAGTAACCTGATTTCTCTGTCACGTTTCTAATTGGCCTTTGTAGTATGCACTTCAGACTTCAGAGAGGGAAAGTAACACATATATATGAATAATATATACCTATCTGAAGGAGAAGCCATAACATAACAACCGTAAAAATGCATTCCCGTAAAGTCAAACTGAAAGTCAAAGTAACTTAAAGTAGTTTCTAGTCTAAATAAGCAGTTTCCATCACTGAATTCAGATACATTTGTGCTGTAAGTAAAAGCTAATCTGTGGAGAGAAATCTGCTTAAGCTACTGTATCTGACTTTTTACCATATTGACTGAGTTATAAGTTGATGAAATTATGATTTGTATTCTCATCCAGACTGTGAATCAAGAGCTACAGGAAGTGAAATTACAGCTGAGGACTGAGCAGGAGAAAGTGGTTAAGCTGGAGGTCAAACTCAAACAGCTAGAGGTGAGAGGAGACCCTGAATCCAGATCTGCCAAAAAGTTTGATACGCCATCATAAGCGGGTTATTCAGGCCGCCGTCTAATCACTAAAGCAGTCGAAGAATGTTTTAAATAAAGAAGAGTTGAGTTAGTTTAGTGAAAGTGTTTTTGAGCAAGGAAGTGAAATTGTTAAACATGGCCTCTGACAAATTGCATGTATGTACAGCTCTATGTTTGTCTAGGATTTATAAATGAAAAAAAACAAATTCCAATTGCATTTTGTGTATCGGCAGTTGAAGTCATCATAACATTATGGTCACAGGGATAATTCACAAAGAACCAGAAATAATGTCTTGCTTTGCTGTACTGATTGCAGGCTGAGAATCAGAGATATTGCCAACAGATTGAGGAGAAAAACATCCAGATGGCCGAGTCTGAAAATCTCATCCAGCAGAAAGAAGACGAGATAAGCCATCTGAAAGGGAATTTATCAAGGTGAGATACTGTATTCATAAACACACATTCTGGACCAAATTAGAGCTCTGTGAAAAAAAACGTGTCTAATCTTGTGTGTGTGTTAAGATCAGAATCTTTATATTTTATTTAGTATGGCTTATCTAGGAATCTGACATACTTGGGGTTCTTCCTGTTTTAACTGCATGGATACAATCGGAGTCGCCTGAGAATCCCCCTTTTTTTCCCGACATATCATGAATAAGCCTGCGTGTATGTATGCAGGTCAGAGGATGGTCTAGCAGCAGCTCAGCGGGCCTACCAGGAGATGAGTGAAAATCTACGGAGAGTCACACAGGACAAACAGAGCTTTGATCTTAAAACAGCTGCTGAACTTGATGATCTTTACCGCACCAAAATCAATTTGGAAGAAAGGCTTGTAGAACTCATCAGGTATAAACTCATGCTCAGATTATCTTTGTTGTTCTTTTTTTGTCTTTTTGTTAGATTTAAATATGCACATAGCAGGGTGGAGACATGGTTCTTAGATTTATTGCCTGATGTCTTTTGGTTTGTGTTTTCAAATGGATAAAAACAAACCACCTAGATGGTGTAATCTGCAGTACACTGTGCTTTTATTGCATATACAAACACGCCTGACGGTGCTCCATGCAGGGAGAAAGATGCACTTTGGCAGAAGACAGATGCCCTGGAGTTTGAGCAGAAACTAAGGGATGAGGAGACGGAGAGGGACGTCAACTACTGTCTGGGCTGTCACAGTCAGTTCAGCTGGTTTCTCCGTAAGCACACCTGCAGGTCAGATAGTCCTCAGTATAATAAACAAATGTACATATCACTATGATATCCAGTAAAACTAGTATCACTGATGCTACTTTTAAACTAGTAGTATAATGACAGGTTTTCTCAATTGCTGAAGCACATTTTCCAAAACACTGCCACCAAAATGACATTCGCTTTGTGATTGTTTCAGTCTCAAAGGAACTGAGTTGCCAATGCCGTTTGCTTCTGTATTTCACTTCACATTTAGACTTGCCAACTGTTGCCCAGTAGTGAAGTCAAATAACTTCTACAGCAAACCGAATGGTATCCATAATAACTCAAGACAAATGTCAGTTTGCTGCTCCATGTTCAGGAACTGTGGTGTCTTCGAAAAACTCACTCTATGTAGTGTCAATGTATTTGAGTAAAAAAACTATATTAGAATTACAACATGTGATGAGTTGCAATACATTTTGCAGATGAATTTTCAAGATCCAGCTGTATATCACCTCCAAATTAACTGACATAATAAAACATTTATGTTTGTCAGCTTATAGCAGTGGGTTCAAATATTATATCCATGTGAGGAATCGCACAATGAGCATGTTCACAAACATGTCTGAGAGTTAAACAGTTCAATAGTGAAGCAGTATAATCGCTACCTGTAACTTAATGGATTGCTGGATCATTTGATGGTATTCTGTGGGAAAGCAGCAATTCATTTAATTTCAGAGCTATTTTTAAAGTCATAGAAGCATCGAGTTTGCCGTTATTTGCAACGATGTAAAAGACGCAGTTAAAAATGAGTAGGACAAAACACAGATGAGAAAAAAGAAAAATCTTTTAAAACAGTTCTGAATTCAATCTGAGGATTGAGCTTAAAATTTGAGGGAAAAAAACTGTAAGATTGAAAAAGCAGCTGTAACAATTAACATTAGGTTAGAAACAGAAATGCTTTTCAACAAGATGTAGATCTCACATTACAGTACATCTGTTTGAGCCTTTCTTCACTGAGCTTCTATACATGCCCTATAAAAAGACTTACTTACTTAGATAATAATTCCTCTCTACACTCTTAATAATGTGTCATTTCAAAATAATAAGCAAACATCACTCAATCTATGAATCTCAATCATATTATGTCTGTTTCCAGACTGTGTGGGCGTCCCTTCTGCTACTACTGCTGCAGTAACACAGTGAGCACTCAGCAGGGCGGCAACAGAGAGCGCTGCTGCAGGGACTGTTACAATCAGCACAGCGCAGTAGTTGAGCGCCACCCACAGGAGGAAGGGACTAGCAGCACGCCAGGGACACCTTTCAGGCGCCTGCTGCAGGCTGGGATAGCTGTGACCAGTCTTTCAGGTAATAAACCATAGATTCTCTCACACACACACACTGAAGTAATGCCTTGCTTTAGATTGCGGTGTGGTTTCAACCGCAGACGCAGTACAGTAAGAGTAGAGTATAAATTGCAATGATGAACATGTAGCTGGTGTTTATTTTCTAGGAGCAGATGAAGGTTGCAAGCTGGATGATGGGGTTTTTGACATCATCACAGATGAGGAAGTGAGCGGGGTGAACGACAGTGACTCCCTCTCTTTTTCTACTGCCTGCTCTCCTAGACACGGACAGCAGGGGGCAGCACAGCTGTAAGTATCTCGCACACATTGACTTACAGGGGGATTTTAGACTGTGGCACTGGGAGTCAGTGATAATAACCCACAACATGAGAGATTAATATCAAACACAGAAACAGATTCTGCTACTTAACAACGTGCCAGCTTCAAACCAATGTGGTCAATATATCCCAATTTCATTTTCTAGGCCAATACAGTCAGAAAACTGGAAAGTTTTGCAGCAGTGAGAAGAAATTCAGGGGCGTGATCTTTGAAAATTAATTTAACTCATAATTCTATTACATTTTTCTTTTCAGTTTTAACAGTTTTGTACATACATTCCCTATTAAAAAAGACTGTGTGATGTAGAAGTGTTTTTACATACGGACAGTATGATAAAAACTATACAGTTTTTTAAAATAATCATTGTGTTTATGAATAACATGTTCATTTTAGTAGACTACTTTTTTAGTGGGATAGATTCTGTTTTGTTGTAAATACTGTGTAAAGTGAAGGTTTATATGACATTTCTATTGTTTATTATTATATATTACATTATATAGGCGCATTATGTGTATACATTCTTGCTTTTAATGCTATGTTTTCTTTAATGTGCTGTGTGTAGTATGTATGTAGTGTGTGAGCCATCACCCTGAGATGAACAATACTGTAAACATGTTGTCATTAAAGTGAATATACTTGGACACTTGGTGGATGTTGTGACACCTAAATGTGAAAGTGAAAATTATTCTCCACAAACTGATATAAATGTGTAATGTAAAATATCCATCACTCTTTCTAGAAACAGCAGTGCCAGTGCAGGAGACATCACATCAGAAGATACGGAGGACCTCAGTGCTGCAGTACAGGATGCAGAGATCTGCCTGCTGAAGTCTGGAGAACTCACGTGAGTGTTACATGCAGTAAAAGTTTGACGGCAAAACCCTGAGTGCTAAGTTGTGTTGTGGATGCAATCACAAGTTAGACTTAAAGCTTTCTTGGGGAGTTTCTTGTGTATTTGTCTGGTAAAAACGTTGCTCTAAATTCCAGAATAGTGTGAAACATGAAACGAATCCATGTGTGGCATGGACAGCGTTCCCAAATGTTACTTGGCACATGTTGTGGGACCTCTGTTTCTCTTCTGTTGTAATTTGGAGCAGGTTTGTTTAGTGAGTATGGAGAAAGCTTAAAGGCCTCATGTCAGCAGGTAACTTCTGTGTGGAGTCAGAAAGAAGTGAGCTTACTAGACCTCTGTAGCCCGCTCCTCATCTCTGCTTGAGGCTACATTAGCCACTACTAGGATAATGTACTTAAATCTGAGACGGATGCATTGAGTTGCATTGTGTGTAATGTAGGCGCCAGGTTTTGACAAGGAAGAAGAATGCCATCCATCCATCATCAACCGCTTATCCTGCGTACAGGGTCGTGGGCTAAAGAAGAATGCGCGGAATAAAAAATATGATATTTCTGGTTCTGTGAACTCAATTTTGATTTTTGAGTTTAAACTGGTCATCGTTAGTCCGACAGTGTGATTTGAGTGTAATGCTAAATTGGTGGAGTTCGCTCTTAACAAGATGACAGTGCTACAATCATACTGTCTCATGCTGCACCTAATAATTATTCTTGAAAATGTCTGATTAACTAATTAATTGCCAATTAATCTTCTGTGGGAATTATCAAATTGCAAAGAAACATAGCAACTTGATTCTTCTTTTTGCAATAAAGATTTAAGTAGGAAAAAAAGATTCTGATTCCAAGTGCGCAGGAGAAGCAACGGTGGCCGACACGCTCTGTCGGCTCTTGTGCTAAATAATACTGTAGTAGTGGTCCTCCATTTGTCCAAAATTACACATCTCTTCTTACTTCTAATAAAACAGACAACTACTACTACGTTACTTGTTCTTCTTCTTTTTTTATCATACATATTCAACATAGTGGCAAAACGTGCTCTCTAGAGCAGTTTGTCCATTTAGGCTACTGTAGAAACATGGCGGGGCTGCACGGCGATAGAAATGACTCATTCTAAGGTAATAAAAACATAAGGACTCATAATGGAAGGACTTTATATAGAGTTATGTATATTATATTGCATTTCTGTCAATAGATCCTCACAAATATTAACACACTGAACCTTAATTAGACTTCTATGATAGTTTAATGTATAATGAATAAAGTAAATAAATATAGGTGTTATATATATGACCTGAAAGCTGAGCCCTCTTCCCAGCCTCAAACTATTTATTTCACACATTTAGGGACATTTTGACTTTGCGGTGGCAAAATAAAATGGAGCTAATTGAATCAGATTAAAATTACCAACCTTTACAGATCCCTTGGCTGCTTTATAGATATTTAATTGATACTATTTACAGTGTTACACAAAGGTGAGTAGATCACAGAATGCTATTTGGAAGTGGAGAGCGTGGGGAAGCAAGCCTTTAACCCTGTAGCTGCCAGCCATTAATCAAACAATTAATCCATGAAATAATCAGAAGATTAATAAATGATCATGAAAACTATTGTTCATTGCAGCCTTACAGTTTTGTGAACTTTCTTGTATCCTGCTGTATTCCCTCTGCTATAGGCTCTCTGTCAGCTTCACGGTGGATGACATCTCAGGGTTTGGGGACAGCTCGCGAGAGCTCTTCATCAAGTCCAGCTGTTACAGCACCGTCCCCATCACTATGAGCACTCCTGGTCCTACTGTCACTTGGACGTTCACCTCTGAACCTAAGAGCATCTACTTCAGTGTGGTCTTCAAGGAGAGTGCAGAGACTCCACTGGAGCAGGCCAAGGTGACACACCAGTATACAAATAAAGGGAACATGTATACACAGTACATTCTCTTAGTGATGGGCTCATCTAGCCGGGTCCAATTTAGAGTATGATACTCCACGACAAAGAAACCCTTTTTCTGACTGAACATGGCAGAAAGCCTCACCTTAAATGTTCCAAAATGTTGATACAACCAAATTCAACCAAACAACTGTGAAATTCAGTGTTTGTGGGAGGATTTGAATCCCTTGCTTAAATATTTATCTACTGTCCATCATGTTAAAGTGAGAACTTGTGGCATGTTTGTATACACAGTAGAATCTCCTTGGTTTGGTGCTGAATAAATTAAAAGAAGTGCATATTGTAACTAAGATGTCTTTCTTCTCCACCTTAGCTGCCTAAAAAAATTCAAAATGGGATTCTCAGACAGATGCTGATTCCTTGAAATGCTATGGATCCCTATCGGTTCCTCCTCTTGTCACTCTCTCAACCCTTTAGACATGTACATAATGTATGTAGATAGATGTCTATCCTTTGCGCTCCACAGGTCTTGATCCCACTGACTCGCTGTAACTCCCACAAAGAGACGATCCAGGGTGAACTGAAAGTCAGAAACCCCGGAGAATACACGCTCATTTTTGACAACTCTTTCTCCAGGTTAGTCACTCTTTTTCTCATGTGAGGGTTTTGTGCATTTGTTTAAAAAAATAACCCTGTTAAGTCTTCAGCACAAACCACTTTTTTGCATATACCTCACAAGTAGACAGAAAGCAAATGTTCCTCTGTCTTTCCTGTTAATCAGATTCATCTCAAAGAAAGTGCTGTATCATCTGAGTCTAGACAAGCCTGTGGTCTACGATGGAACTGACCTCCTCTAATCGTGACGAGAAACAGGAGAAGCAGGTGTAAAACTGACTTTCAAAACATTCAGGGTGTTTTAAGCACATGCTCATGCTACTGACGTTTAGCAACCTAAATAAAAGGTTATGACATTTAAAAAATTTCTTTTTTTTAAAAAACATCTTCTTGAGGTGTTACACATTCGATGCGTTGAGAAAGCTGAACAGAAGCTGAAACAATTAAGTAAAACAATGTTACACTACTGAATGTGAGCGTGCACTATCTTTTTATAAAAGCTTGATGTTTAAATGTAGCATTAAGAGTATCAAACTTCACTCCTGCTGTAGGTGTTCGGAGGATTCTTGACCGTGAATAATGCGCGTGTTTGTGTCTGTGTGCGCACATACAGGTTTCTCACCCACAGATGTAAATCCCGTAGGCCACTTTTTCTGCACCCTTGCAGAAGTAAAGCAACATTTTTACTTTAGCCTGAGGTGCAACTGTTTGATAAATCAAGGTTTGTTCTCCTTATTTTCCTCGTCTCATAAGACTAATTGCTTTTAAAATGGGATTAATGTGCTCTCTGAACAGTACATTCCCAATACGAGTGGGAGACACGGTCAAAATCCTGTCACAGTATGTGTTATTTTATGTTGTGATATCAATATTTATCATGATTTATTGATATCCCAGAAAATCAATTGAGGAATTGTATAAAGAACCAGACAGAAATGTCTGTTTTTGAATCATCTAGGCAATTAAATCAAATCAAGGTACTTCATCACATTGATGCAGAAAAACATAAAAATACACTATTGCCATTAATTATACCCTGCTTATTGATATTCAGCTTTACCCACAATGGCCTAATACGCTCAGAGATGTTAAAGAGCATTTATGTAACATAAGCGTTCATGTAAATGTTACATGAATGAGACATGACTGGAAACAAGCAGTAGATTTATGTTAATGTTGCTGTTTAATTTGCCTAAACTACTTTAAGTTTGAAAATGTAACCTTAATTGACCTTAACTGAGTTTGTTTTACTTACCATTAGCGAACCTTTTCATGTAACTAACTCTTAATGAACTAACTTTTAATTGGTGTATTGATATCATGCTGTAGAATTAGCCTTCATTGGTGGAGAGATGTACTCCTCATAGTTTTTGTATCCAAAGCAAAGTTCAAAGTTCATGCTCATTTTGCAGACAGTTGCAGTATCATCAAGATTTTTGTCAGAAATGACAGCATGTGTTTCAATCACAATGAAGCATAACAACTTAACACTCAAGGTTAAAATATAGGGAGTGCATATCAAAATGTAAGTTATAGTGTTTTAAAAATTTAGTTTAACTTGAATCATCATGTTTTGTCAAAATGAGGATTTTTGCATTAAATATAGTGAAGACATCAGCTTCAGTGACATTTTGTCTTAAGATACATAAAGCCTTTAGATGAAGAAACATTTGTTTTGGGGAAAAAAACAATTATAATGAGAATTCCTTTTTTTATGGAGCACTTTTATAGATGGAAAGAGATGTACACTTGCTGCGTGATGTTACTAAATAACTTCTGCAGTGTGTCAAACAGAAATAGTTTGAATCTCAGCACAAAGCCTTTAAATAACACAAGTCCAAAAAATCACTTTTGTACTTCTACTTGTCTTATATGGACCTTTTTATTTGAAGGCTTTAATGTTGACATTTACTTTGAGTGTCTTCACACTGGTCATTTATTAATATACTGACTGATTTTAGCTGAAACACATGAGTTTTTGCCCACAATAAACAAGAAGACCGTTTATGTGGTAGTGCCTGTATTGTGTTTGTTAGGATTCTTGATACAACCGATGCGGTGTTTAATATTTGGAGCTGCGTGCACTACACATTTTCACCATAAATTCACATACTGACTTGAATATACTGAAACACTGCTTTTCTCTCCGTCAGAGCATTTACAAATTATAAAATGTCTTCCACTGTTTTGAATCCATTTTGTAATTTATATTTTGAATGTGATACGAGGAAAGAAGAAGGTAAAATACAAATGACACTTTTTATACATATCTGAATAAGAAGAGTGACATATTGCCAAATATATTGGGGAAACATATTTGTCTATTTTATTGTTGTTAAATGGGAGTTTCTATTTAAAGGCATTGCAATAGATGCACTTTTGAAAGGGCTTTTTGGCAGTCTGTATCCCATGAGCCTTTGTACCAGTGGATGAATGTTTCTTTTCTTTTTCTTTGGATGATTGTAGACGTTTAATGCTGGATTTGTCAGAGGGAACCTCTCACTCTCTGACCTGTAAATGATTGTTGACAAATGTTTTATTGAAATATAATTTACATACTAAAGATTAATAGAATGGATTTATGATTGTGGACAAATAAATAAGGATTGTGTGATAACTCTTAGTGAGTGCTGGTTAATTTACTGTATCTGCAATACATCATAGCGTGTGATACTTTTGTCTTCATTGTAACCTGTCGATAAACATAGAGACGAACACACTGATAATACAATAATAAAAAAGTCACTTCTCTAGGCCCCGATGGATCTGACTTTAAAATACAGAAGTGCCTCAAAGCCAAACAGATATGTGGTATATATGGTGTGGTTTTGTCAATGCAAAGTATCTTAATTCTAACACAAGCACCTGTTATAATACAACCGTCTTTATGATGTGAGTGTTTGCAAGTTGTCAACATGGGAATCTGTCCCTTCTCTACCGTCTGTAAGTGGGCCATACTTAAGAGAAAAACAACACTGAATATTTTTGAAGAAATATCAACATACTAACTAGAAATTATACATTATGCCAATTCATATCAATCAAACTGCAACTTTGGAAAGTCACTGTTCACAAGGCAAAGCAAAATGTTTTTTTGAAAGATGTCATTTATTTTGTTGTTAGCAGGGATCTATTCTGGAGCTGTTTCACCACCACCCACAATGTGTTTGATCAGCTATGGCTTAAAGAGAGAGCGTATCAACCACTAATCAGATCCATGGCTTTCCCTATCCACTATGTCAAAGTATTCTTAGGCTACATACTGAACCCCAAATGTGTGTGTGAATAGTCAGTTTCTGTTTCTGATTAGCCGTTGGCAGCTTGCATGGCAGTCAGTGTATGAACGTGTGTGAATGGGGTGAATGGGACATGTAGTGTAGGGCGCTTTGAGTGGTCGGAACACTAGAAAGTCACTATACAAGTACAGACCATTCACTGTTTTGATGTGCATGCTCCTTTAGACAGTGCATTGTGGGAGAATAATGTATAGCAGTGAATAGTATCAACAACAAACTCAAAAATCTTTTTTGAGTCAGAATACAGTCAACATAAAGTTTACCAGTGTAAATACACTACATAAGCAAACCCTGCTTAGATTTAGTATGTTAGTCAGGTGTATTTAAAACAGAGCTAATGTCTTGTTAGTTTAAGGATTGAGCTATGAACATTGTGTTTGTGTGTGCGTATGTGTGTGCGCTCTTTCTTAAACTATAAATGCCTGCTGTCCTGCATGTGTTTTGAGTGGTTGTGTATATCTGTGTGTTTCATGTTTTTATGCACACTAACCGATGGGAACAAAAATAGAGACTGCTTTTTTAGAGTTAAGACTTGTTTTAAGTGTTCAGGTTGGAATTAGGTTAAGGTTAGGCATGTAGTTGTGATGGTTAAGGTTAGGGTGTGTCCCCACAGGGATAGAAGCACAAACGTGTGTGTGTGTGTGTGCTCACACGAGGTATTGTTCTTACAAAGTGTCTGTCTAAGAGATAGTGTTTATGTCGCAGAGGCCATTCTGTTTCTCAAGGTTAATGATCTCATTGTAAATCATGTCACATCCATCTCCTCCTCCATGACTCCTCTCTCCTGCCTTTCTCTCTTCCTGCCTGCTGCCTTTACTGAATCGGTGATTTGCCCTGTGACTGTGCACATGTATGAATTTCTGAGTGTTTGTGGTGGGGGTGGTTGTTTATAAGTGTTTATATATGTGTGTGTGTGTGTGTGTGTGTGTGTGTTGAATGCTAATGCATCACAGAATACACACACAAATACATGTAATCAATTGACAGATGGGGACATTCATAAACACATAAATAGAAATACATGCATGTCTCATGCCTTATTTCTCATGTCTCACATGATGCTCTTCATATGTGGGGAAAAAACCTTCAAATGCGCACACTCACACGCATGTTGTCTTATCTTCGTGGGGGCATCACATTGACATAATGCATTCCCAAGCCCCTTACCCTAACCTTAACCATCACAAGTACATGCCTAACCTTAACCTTTACCTAAATCTAACCTTAACCCTACAACCAGGTCTTAACCCTCAAACCAACAAGTCATCCAACCTAAACGACAATATTTGTCGGTTATCCATCCAACGACACATATGAGCGTTAACTACGTTAAGTCACGTGACCTACATCAAATGACATTAAACACGTGGTTAATATTGTGAAATGGTGGCTATTTGTTTAGGTTTAGGCAACGAAAACCACTTGGGTTAGGTTTAGGAAAATGTCGTGGTTTGGGTTAATGTAAGTAAATTACAGAAGTCATGGAACTCACATGACGGAAGTCAATAACGCAAGTCACATGATGTAAGACAGTAACGCTATTTAACTTAAAACTTTAAATAACTCAACATTTACTTGGTTTCACTTCTCGCTGTGTCTTTTCATGTTACCTTTGTTACCATTGTACGGCAACTAGGGGTTGCTGCCAAGAAAACACGTAAACATGGGTAGTAATAACGTGCTACACAAACAACATCTACTGCTGTCTCCCTCCCTCAAACAGTCCTTTAAACTTGTGGGGTCCAGCATTTTGATCCCCTCAAAGCTGGTCAGTCCCCACAAGTATAGTGAATCCCGGTTTTTGGACCCCGCGAACATAGTAAAACAAAAACACACACAATGAAAAATATGCCTTCAGCTCTCTTCTCCTCATTTCTGGATATATAGTTTATCTGACAGTTGCACAGAAACTTGCTGTAATTCTGAAACATTGTGGTGCAGTTTTCCAGCGTTCAACCTCCATTTTGTGATAATAAAAACAACACTTTTCTTATCTGTGCGCTGCAGGTTGTCAGAGTCTCCTGCTGTTCAAGCAAAGGATGTAAGACATTTCACAATGTATTTCCACAGAGAATCAAAGAAGGTGTCAGCCACGTTGCATTTGTTACCTGTAATGTGTCATAAAGGATTTGTCCAAAGTCACTTTACGTGGACATTATGAAATAATCACACCCACTAAAAGACAGATTATCAAGAAAAAGACACCAAGTTCCCTTTTTAGTCTCCCATTAACCAAAGCTAACTAAAAACTCTGTGTGTATATATATATACAGGTGATACTGGTCCTATAATTACAATATCATCAAAAAGTTGATTTATTTCAGTAATTCCATTCAAAAAGTGAAAATTGTATAATTTATACATTCATTCCACACAGACAAGTGTTCATTCCTTTTAATTTTGATGATTATAACTGACAACTAATGATGTGAAAACCCCAAAATCAGTAAATCAGAAAATTTGAATATTGTGAAAAGATTCAATATTGAAGACACCTGGTGCCACACTCTAATCAGCTAATTAACCTGCAAAGGCCTTTAAATGTAAATGCTCCGTACTTGTATAGCGCCTTTCTAGTCTTTTCGACCACTCAAAGCGCTTTTACACTACATCTGCATTCACCAGTCACACACATAGTGCTCAAACGGAAACTAACATTCACACACACTCATACACTGGCGGAATAGCCACCAGGGGCAATTCGGGGTTCAGTATCTTGCCCAAGAACACTTCGACACCAGGGGGAGCCAGGGATTGAACTTCCAACCTTCCGATTAACAGGCAACCCGCTCTACGTCCTGAGCCACAGCCGCCCCTGGTCTCTCAGTCTAGTTCTGTAGGCTACATGAGGAAGACTGCTGACTTGACAGCTGTCCAAAAGACGACCATTGACACCTTGCACAAGGAGGGCAAGACACAAAAGGTCATTGCTAAAGAGGCTGGCTGTTCACAGAGCTCTGTGTCCTTGTGTCAAGCCACTTTTGAACAAGACACAGCGTCAGAAGCGTCTCGCCTGGGCTAAAGACAAAAAGGACTGGAGTGCTGCTGAGTTATGTTCTCTGATCAAAGTAAGTTTTGCATTTCCTTTGGAAATCAAGAAGAATCAAAGAATCCACGTTGCTTGAAGTACAGTGTAAAGTTTCCACAGTCATCTGCTGGTGTTGGTCCACTGTGTTTTCTGAGGTCCAAGGTAAACGCAGCCGTCTACCAGGAAGTTTTAGAGCACTTCATGCTTCCTGCGGTTGACCAACTTTATGGAGATGCAGATTTCATTTTCCAACAGGACTAGGCACCTGCACACAGTGCCAAAGCTGCAAACCGGAACCTGGTTTAAGGACCATGATATCCCTGTTCTTAATTGGCCAGTAAACTCGCCTGACCTTAACCATATAGAAAATCTATGGGGTATTCTGAAGAGGAAGATGCGATACGCCAGACCTAACAATGCAGAAGAGCTGAAGGCCACTATCAGAGCAACCTGGGCTCTCATAACACCTGAGCAGTGCCACAGACTGATCGACTCCATGCCACGCCGCATTGCTGCAGTAATTCAGGCAAAAGGAGCCCCAACTAAGTATTGAGTGCTGCACATGCTCATACTTTTCATGTTCATACTTTTCAGTTGGCCAACATTTCTAAAAATCCTTTTTTGTATTGGTCTTAAGTAATATTCTAATTTTCGGGGATACTGAATTTGGGATTTTCATTAGTTGTCAGTTTTAATCATCACAATTAAATGAAATAAACATTTGAAATATATCAGTCTGTGTGGAATGAATGTATACATTATACAAGTTTCACTTTTTGAATGGAATTACTGAAATAAATCAACTTTTTGATGATATTCTAATTATATGACCAGCACCTGTATATGATATTGATATTGTGATACTATATTTTTTGGAATTTGCTAAATCAATTAACATCTATATCTCCACAAGTCTTTCTTCAAACACTACCAAATTAACTGTTGCAAAGGGTTTTTAAATCGGTCAAATGGTGAGTCTTCAGTATCTTGCTATAACTTGTACAGTATGCACAACATTTTCTTGTTTGCTCAGTTTTGGATCTAATGCCACCAAAATAATTCACAACACACCCAAAACCAGAAGAATGATGTGTGATTTTTATCAGAATTTTCTCACCAACATCTTGACAGTTGTAAGCGTTTTAAGTTTAAACTGACAAAACTATCCGCACCTGGCACATGTGACGTCACTCAACTTGTGAGAAGGTGTGTGGAAATTAAGTGTTTATGCAGCTTAAACTTTAAAACTTGGAAACACAAAATGTTGCAGGTGGGTTGGACATTTCACCCAGTAGT